TCACTAGGTCTAAGCACTTGTCACACAGGCTGATGACTTGAATGGTATCCCCGAAATCCATGGTGGAAAGAGAGAAGCCATTCCCAAAAGCTGTCCTCTGACCTCCACACTAGCTCCGTGGCACCTGTGTGCCCACACTCACACACATGTACCTATCACACACAGGAACGCATCACACACACATAATTAAAATAAATCATTGTTAAAAATGAGTAAAAGTTGTCCATTGGCCATGGTGGCTCACACCTGTAATCCCAGTACTTAACTGAGGTAGGAAGATTGCCACAAGTTTAGGGCCAGCTTGGGCTACAGAGAGAAATTCTGTCTAAAAAAAAAAAAAGATTGCTTATTCAACCTCAAATATCTCCACAAAAGGCTGGAGAGATAGCTCAGTGATTAAGAGCATTGATTGATTTTCCCAAGGTCCTGAGTTCAATTCCCAAGAACCACATGGTAGCTCACAACCATGTAACGAGATCTGGTACCTTCTTCTGGCCTTCAGGCATACATGCAGACAGAACGTTGTATACATAATAAATAAATCTTTTTTTTTTAAAAAAAAAAAACTCCACTAAAGACTTGTGATGTTTATTTTTTGTAATTTTGGTTTTTGACCATCTATTACTAGCAGTTACCAGGATGACTGATGTAACAGCTTCTATCCACAAGCTCCCAGTTTGTATTAAGTTAAGAAACTCACCCTGGTGTTAACCAACAAAACATCTCCAGTTCATTTTGGACTTTGCGTTTCAGACAGAGGAGTCAAATTAATTCAAGGACTTCAGGTAAGATATAGGTTAAACACAGATGGGCCCTTCTCATCAACCTCCTCTTCACCACGACCCCTGAGTTCTCAGGATTATTGAAACATGCTTTAAGAATATCTCAGAGCCACGCATTAGTAAGAGGAACAGTACACGGAATGGGACCTAAACACATAGTTTCTGCATTCTCCACCAATCCCTCGGTGCTGAAGTCAGGTAGGGAAATAACCTCTCGGCCCCATCTCCAGCAGCAATGAAACAAGCTTCACGATTGGCTTCCTAGTACTCCAAAGTGTAAGTTAGCATTTACTCAAGTAGCCTATACTTCATATAATACTTTCCAGATTCGCCTACGTTCCTGCAAATTTCATATCTCTACAGTTGAATAAGATCCCTTTGTATCCACAGACCACATTTTTACTATTTATTTAGAACCTAGGCTGGTTCATTTCCTTGCTATTGTGAGTAGTTGCAGCAATAAACATGGATTTCCAAGAACCTCGTGGGAGGCTCTAAACTCTTTAGACTCTGTGGCCCGGTAGAGCTGAGTCACATGAAATTCTATTTTTAACTTGAGACACTTCCGTATGGATTTCCATAATGGCCATACTAGTTGATACTCCACACCACTAAGGGCTCTTCTTTCTCCAGATCCTCACCAACCTCGGTTGTTAGTAGTTTAAAAACTAGTTTTTACTATGCTGAGGATTGAACCCAGACTTCATGCATGCTAGGCACATGCTAGCTACACTCCCAACCCCCAGCCCCTTCATAAGAAACTTCCGTGATCTTTATTTGAGTGTGCCAGCAGGTTCCTGTAGGGACCCTGGTGGTTACATTTCCTCCCCCGACAAATACAGAGAAAGCAAGCACAAAGACAGGGCCTGACTTCCTAGGGTTATAGATTGAAGCATTGCTGCTTAAGAAAGATAGTGGACTTGTGGAGATAGGGGCTGCCTTTTAATAGCCCTACTGTTTTGGCAAGAATGATGCTGCATGCTTAAAAAAATGAAAAATCATGGCAGTTTTCCACTTTTGTTAATTTGATATGTACTTATATATATGTATATATGTATATATATATATGTATATATGTATTTATGTATGTATGTATGTATGTATGTATTCACATAGATACACTCAAATTTATTCCTGTTGTTATTTGTCTGTTTGTTTTGAGAAGGGATATTGTAGTCATTTGGTTTTTACTCTTTGAGGGGCCCACCACGCAGCTCCAAAATAAATCAAACACAGAGGCTTATTCTTACTTATGAATGCCCGGCCTTAGCATGGCTTATTTCTAGCCAGCTTTTTTTTAACTTAAATTATCCCATCTTCCTTTTGCCTCTGGGCTTTTACCTTTCTCTATTTCTGTATATTTTTTTTTTCACTTCTTCCCGTGTGGCAGGGTGGCTGGATCCTGGAGTCCTCCTCCTTTTCTTGCTCCTCCACCTGTCTTTTTTTTCCTTCTATTTATTCTCTTTGCCTGCCAGCCCCACCCATCCTTTCTCCTGACTTGCTATTGGCCATTCAGCTCTTTATTAGACCAATCAGGTGTTTTAGACAGGCACAGTAACACAGCTTCACAGAGTTAAACAAATGTAACATAAAAGAATGTAACACATCTTTGCATCATTAAACAAATGTAATACATCTTAAAATAATATTCTACAACAGGGTATCATAGAGTTCAGGCTCTGAAATCTACTATTATAGCCACGGCTATCCTTGAACTCCTTTTTTATTTATTTACTTAGTGTGTGTGTGTGTGTGTGTGTGTGTGTGTGTGTGTGTGTACAAGTAAACAAAGGACTTTTTAAATAAAGGAAAATTCAAGGATCACAAAAGGTACACAGGGCCTAGACAAAGAGAACCAGAGACACAGAGAAGAGGTAGCTGAGGAAGTAGGAGAAAAAAACATAAGAATTCCTCAAGAAAGGGGACTTCACAGCAAATTACAATGGTTCCTGCCTGTATTCCCAGCACTTGGGAGACTGAGGCAGGAGGACCACAAATTCAACGCCAGCCTGGTCCACACCCTGAGACCCTTGCATAGCACATGTGAAGACCTAGGCAGGACTCCCCAGCACCACACACAAACAAAAGAAACAGTGAAACAGAATAGAAGGTCAATCACAAGGAAGCAAGATAAGGATTTGGATTTATCAATAAAGAGGTAGCATATACCCAGAGAAGAGTGATTTTAGGCAAGGTGGACCTGAATGGGCAGAAACTGAGGCAGCCAGCCTGCACACCCCACTGACAGCGCCCATCTTCCTAGACCAGGGCTTCTCAAATTCTAATATGCGTAGGGATCAATTATACTGCAGATGTGATTGCCAGTGTCTGGCTGAAGCGTCGTATGTCTATCAAGCCTCCTGGTGGCGTGTTTCCTTGGACTGACACAACGTATTTAGGGCCAGCAGATTCAGTCTTGAAAAACTCAAGGGCTTGAACATTTTTAAAGCTTTATCAAAGACAGACCTGTGGACAGGTGAAAATGACTTCTTAGATTATTATTCATATCAGTAAACAACAATGAAAAGAAAAAAACCAAGGACATTTCAGTCTCTGTGCCCAATTCCTCTCCCAGCCCATGTCTTGTTCATGAACATCTCCTTTTGGGTCACTGAACCCCATTTCCTTCCCTACAGTGTTTTTACAATCTACTCCCTTGTTAGGTTTTAGCCAGGTGAGCAAAGATTATTTCCCAACAGGGAATCCTCCAGGTTTCTGAATCACCTAAAGAGCATTAAAAACTGTTTCCCGTTGGTCTTCACTCCCAGAGGGTTTGACTTAATTGAGCTGGGGCATGGCCCAGGCATGACATATTTTTTTAAGTCCCCAAGTAAACTTAACTTGCAGCTAAGCGTGTCTGAAAATGCTCGGCACACTGCAGGTGGGTGTTGTTTGCGGTGGCCATCCATTCATCTTAACTTCTGGTATCCAGTTAACTCCTTGTCTCCCTAGAACCCTCTGTCTCCTATCATGTTAAATGTCTACTTATGACGGTGTTCTCAACACTAGGCTTGGCTACACAGCCATTTCAGACCAGCCTGGGATAGATGTCACAAAGATTACGTTATACCACCAAGTTTCTGCACTCAATAGTCAGGGATAAAACGGTTTTAACTCAGGAATCAGTAACGTATAGACCAAGCTATACCTCATTCATTTTGGAGACCAGTTGTAAAACAGTAGTTTGATTAATTTCTGATGATGGAAGGTGCCTTTATTATTTTTCTTTCATCAAGGACCTGACGCACACTGAAAATGTTAACAGGGTAGTCCGGTTTTCGCTTTCCACAAGCTGGGAGATTTTTGAGGGGATCTGTTCAGTCATACACATCACAGCATTCCTGGGCTGCCACATATTAGATAATACTGGTGGGATGAACGTAGTTACCCTTCATACCTCGGTGTATAAATATGACTTTGACTGGATAGGGAGCCGCACAACTTTCCCATTTTGGTTCTTTTTGCAGTTCTTAACTAAGGGTCTCTGAACTGGGCCACTCCTTAATCTGCATGGGCTACAAGTTGGTTTTACTTTTTACCTCCACCTACGTGAGGTTTTGTAAACATTCGAGGTGAGTAAGGACTGTCTTCTGGGACAAATGAAAGCAAGATTCTTGAGACTAAGGATACCCCAGCAAGTCCGGTCCTTTAGCTTGTCCCGTAATGCCTCTTAACACCCCCAAAACAGATCCCAAGAGTCCGCGTGGGCATCCCGACCGCGCCCCCTGGTCAGCAGCAGCGTGATTCCTTCCCGGGAGGGTTACGCCCCAGGGCGCAAGTGGAGCGACTCAAGCATTAAACAAGACAATGTAAAAGCAGTCTAGCCAAGAAGAGACAGTGTTATTTTGGCAGCTAGCTTCTCCCCCAGAGCCTCCACCCAATCCCTTGGGCCAGGCGCCCAGAACTCAGACTGTGGCCGGCTCCAGAAGCCCAGCTCCCTCCACGTGTCCTGTCTTCCCAGCAGCCTCTCCGCCGCCTGGGGAGGAAAACCTCCTGACAACTCGCGGTCCCTGGACTACATCTCCCGGGAAGCACCGCGCCACTTCTCGCAGCCACCACCCGGCGCGCAGGCGCCCTGCGCTCTGTCAACAAGCGGGGCCGGGGACGATTGTGTGCGCTTCCTGATGGGATTTGTAGTTTCTCCGGCGCTCCCCGACCTGCCCATCAGCCGCTCGAGGACTACAAGTCTCGGCTACCCCGGCGCGGAGATCCCGGTCACGTGTCAGGGGGCCGACCGGGCGTGCGTGCCGCCGTTGATCCGGTGCTGCAGTGAGGTGGTTGTTGCCCGTGTTGTGTGTGTGTGTGAGTGTGTGTGTGTGAGTGAGTGAGTGAGGGAGCGAGTGAGTGAGTGAGTGCGTGCGTGGGGGCACTCGGCTTGTTGTTGTCGGTGACTTCCCCCTTCCCTCTACCCCTCCCTTCCCCGGCCGCCGCTGCAGTGGCCGCTCCCTGGGCCGTAGGAAATGAGCGATAACGATGACATCGAGGTGGAGAGCGACGTGAGTCCCGGGGCTTCTTCCTTTCCGTGCGGGTTGTCAGGCGGGGACAGCGGCCGGGGCTCTCAGCGGGGCGTCGGCGGGAGGGGGCCGGGTCGCCGCCGCCTCCGTCCCCTTCCCCCGGGGCCGGGACCGCCTGCGTCGCGCTCCGGGCTCGCTCCCCTCCAGTCCTGTCCGGAGAGGCCTCCTGGGACTGAAGGTGGGAGCAGACACGCGGCCTCTGGGACCCCCGCCTCCTCCCGTGGAGGAGGGTGCCGAGGCCTCCCTCTCCACTCTCCCCGGCTGGGGATCCCATTATCCGTCCGGATCCTGGGCAAGGAGACCAGCGCTCAGGACCTGCTTCTTTGGGTCCACGGTCCCCCTCCTCCCGTGACCCGTTGATCCTGGGGGTGAGGGGACTGGGAGTACTCTGACGCCCGAGGGGGATCCGGGGAGAGCAGACGGTATGCTCCGGACCCCTCTTGTCCGGTTCGGATCCCAGAAGGAGGGGCGGCGCCTGGGACCCCCACTAGGCTGCCGGATCCCGCTGGAGAGAGTGGAGGGGAAAGAGGGAGGGAGGGGTGTCGGGCTGACTCCCCACCCGCTGCTTCCTCCGCCGCCGGCATTTTCTTTCTTATTATTGAATGCGAAGTGTAAAAATAACTTCTATATTTTCTATTTTTTTTTTCTCTCTTATTCCAGGAAGAGCAACCGAGGTTTCAATCTGCGGTACGTCTCCTACTCTCCATTTCATTTTCATTTCCGTTCAGTTTTGGTCCTTTTTGGAGTCAGAGAGAAAAAGAGATCGTTCTTTACTTTTAATATTCTTGTAAACTCTCCTCTTAACCGCTAAGGTGAGGTGGAGTCAGCTGGGGTTGGAGGTTGGGGGGGGCGCTGCAAATCCTATGATTCTGGATTCTCAGGTGGTAGATTCTAGTGAGTAGGTAGGCGAGTGAGAGTGAGCCCCGTGCCACAGACTCGGTTGTTCTGGAGTGTTCAGTGAAGGATGCAGCTCAGGCCTGTGAGAAACGAAAGCGCATTCGGAAGTAAGGTTCATTTCAGAGCAAACTGGTCCGGTTTATGTAGGAACAAGTAAGCCTTAAGCAGTGTCTTCATAGTTGTGTGAAGCTCCAGGCACAATAATAATCGCCTTTAGCCAAAGTCGTGTGACTGCCGCAGACCCTTACAGTCTAGAAAAGCATGGTGTTCTCAACAATAACAACAACAAAGTGGAAATAGAGAGGAGCCAGATGTTAAATCCTGAAAGTGTCACAGCTTCTTGTGGTCCGACTTCCCATTTGAGAAGAAAAAAAATTGTTGAGAAGTGGCATTGTAAGAGACAGGTTTGCTGAAAGGCGATGGCTGAGTCCATGTAGTGTTATCAGTAACTTCTTCGTTAGGGTTTTGATGTTAATGTTGTCGTAGGTGTTTCTGTGGATTTGAGTTGACAGCATCTTTTGTCTTTGGAGTCTGAGGCTTAGCAGTACGTGGGTATAGATTAGGAAGAGAGAAAAAGAATAGACTCAGAATAATCCAAATCAGAGACGACGATGAATGATAATTGGGAATGGTAAGAGCGGTGTAGAGGGAGGGTCTTACATGCATTTGCCTGTGGGGATTAGGTAATGGATTGTCAAGGGAAGAGGGAAGGCCTGGAGTACTGAGGAACCTGTGCCCCTTCTAAAAAGTCGGCAGCTTGTTATATGAGAGTGAGTTCAGTGGTGCCAGATCTTATTGTTGTCTCAGGGCTGGGGTTAGACCTTTACCACTGAGCCATACTCCCTGGATCTTCCTACTTCAAGAGAAATGTTAAAATGCTAGAAACAGATTGTTATTTTTCTGGTGCATCTGTATGCATGTAATTTTTGGCTGTTCTGGGAGTTGAACTCAGGGCCCTCAGCATGCCAGGCAACGCCTCTGTGTGGAGCTATAACCTCAGCCTACTTAACTGAATGTTTTAAATTACATTCATTTATTTAATGTGTGTATGTGATCCTGTGCATGCCATGGCTCACATGTAAAGGTCAGAGGACAACTTGGGGGAGCGGGTTCTCTCCTTCCAACATGTGGGTCTGGGGGGTTGAACCTGGCATCATCAGGTTTGGCCTCAACACCTATACCCACTAGGCTATCTCTAAGCTCTCTCTTTAGCTCCTGGTTATTTGATTTTTAAATGATATATGGAACAGCTGTTTGGGGGCTTATAAAGAATTTGCTGGATGAAGTTAGGCTTGGTTGCCCAGGCCTGTAAACTCCCTTCCTCGGGATGCTGAGGTAGAAAGATTAAAAGTTCAAGCCTGTTTCAGCAATTTATTGAGACCCTGCCTCAACATACAAAAAAAAAAACAAAAAAAAACAAAAAAAACACCAAAACCAAAAAAGAAGCCAGGGTTGTATCCAGTACTGTAAGCTCAGTGCTTAGGAGGCTTTGGCAGAAGGCTTGCTCTGGTTTTTAGGCCAGCCTGGACTACAGAATGAGATTCTGTCTCAAACAAACAAGAACCCTCTCTACCTTTGTCTCTTGCTAGGGAATGCAGCTCGGTAGGACACTTAGCTTTCAGGAGGCCTTGAGTTTACTCCCTAGTTGTGAAAAAACAAGTTTGCAGGGTACCACTTTGATAGCTCTGCTGTAGGACTTTAGTAATCAAGGGTGAAAACAGGTTCTTCATTAGAGGATCAGAGATTGTACAGATTGCCTGAGCATCATCAACTAGAACCAATTGATTCTGACTGAGTGCACTTATGGCAGAGGTCTCAAGGACTGTTCTGAGAGATCCTCACTGAAGAAATGTTTTATTTCTTTATGAAGCATTACATATACCTCTACTGAAAGTCAATTCCCTTTTTTGTTTTGTTTTTCAGCTACTGTTTCTTTGTTTTTTGTTTTTCTTGTTTTTCCTTTGAGAGAGAGATGCAGTATGAAGTTCAGTATGGCCTTGAACTCAGAGATCCACCTACCTCAGTTTCCCAAGTGCTGGGATTAAATGTGTGCACCACCATGCCTGGGTACTGTTTGTTATTCTTAGAAGTATGGACTTGGTAGTTTTCATTTGAGCCTGTTCCTCCAAAACCAGAACAAAAAAAGCAGTTTCTTTTCCTCCTCCAAGTCTCCAGTTTTAAGGTCTGCTCCAGGGCTTGATCAGATTTAGAGGGTGAGGATTGGTAAGGCTTGTTTTCAAGAATCATCCTTGAGTTGGAATTAGATTTGCTTTTTAATGAGAGCTAAGTTTTCTTACTTTATGATAAGGAGTTATTGTAGGTCTTCTGCTTTTTAAAGTGTCCATCTGGGTGGTGATGTAAATTAATTTACAAAATACCTCCATTCCCATGAGGTTGATCTTGCTTTGTCTAGATGGTTTTACTTTTCTTTCTTTCTTTCTTTTTTTTTTTTTTTTTGTTAAGGTGCTTAGGATTTTTTCCTTCATTTTGGGACATAGACAGTGAAATTTTCATTGTTGCTGGGGATTGAACCAAGGACTTTGAGACTCTTTGTTTTAATTTGATATACTTGTTGAGATTTATCTGGTACAAGTTTATCATGATAGCATAGACAGAAAAAGCAGGTATAGACACAGTATATTATAGACACAGTATATTAAACAGTTATCACAAATGGGGTGGAAACATGGATCCCTCCCCCATCCCTGTGAATACATCTATTTGCTTATTGAAATTTAGTGTAAATAATAAATACATTTTTTTAAAATGGGGAAAGCTATTAAGTTTTGTCTTTGGACAAACATTAAAAAGAAAAAAGAAGATGTGGACTCTGGACAACTATTTAGGGCTGCAGAAGAACTTTTAAAAAGTTACTTGAAGCCCAAGTTCACACCTGTAATCCCAACACTCAGGACATTGAGACAGGAGGATTGCTGTGAGTTTGAGCTGAGTTACAGAGTGAGACCCTGACCAAAAAAACCCACGTTATTTGGAAAATGTCCTGTGGGTCCTAACACGAAACGATGACCGTATTTTGTAACATCACTACAGTATCTTAAGCCTCGTGAGAAGTGCAGGCATTGAGCTCACTATTAGTAAGGAGGGAGGGTAACAGAAAGTGAAACTGCTGTGACGATGCCCTCCACACGGAAGCAGCCTCTCCAGTGAACAGTGAGTGAGCTCTTAGAGGAAGTAACCCTAAACACTAACTACTGAGTTTGGCAATTGCAGAATCTCACTGGTGTTTCGTTTTGTTTTTTAAAGAGAATAAGTTGTATTTTAAAAATAAGTTTCTTTGGTGGTTATTTTATACAAGTGGTTCCTTTTGCTTTATTTCTGTTTGGGAAATTTCCCTGGGAAAGAGTGAAAGTATATGTGAAATGTAGGGTTACTGACTTGGTCAACCTGAGGCCTTTCTCTATGTTTTGTCCTTCACATCTGATGAACTCAGCATGTGGCAGTTACAACACTTGCCGACTGACTGGTTTAAAATAGGTTTGTGTGTCCACTTCTAGACCTTTCTGGTTTAAGGTATTTGTAACTTCCCAGCTCTTTGCTTCTTTAGAGGTTGAAGTGTACTTGGGAGGGAGAGAGTTGCCCACTTTGGAGGCTGGAGTTGAGGAAACTTGTGTGTCTTACCTGGGAACAGCCGCACGGCAGGAGAGCTGCAAGATGCATATTTGTTTCTGCTTAGAGTGTTGGCTCTGGTGACGGAAGCAGTAGGCTTCCTTCCTGTGTGTGCCTGGAAAAGGAAAAGGTGATGTTAAGTTTTAAAAGTTGTCTTGTTTTATCAAGAGGCTGATAGGATAAAAGAATTGATCAAAGAATCTTATTTGGTCTTCATTTGGGGTAGGGGGGTTATGGGGTTTTGCTGTGAAGCCTGGCCTCCAATCTGCAGTGATTCTCCTGCCTCAGCCTCTCAAGTGTGGGGATTACAAGTGTGAGCTGTCAAGCCTGACTTCAATTTGACGTTCAATTAATGTCCTAACCAAGACCCCCTTCCTCTTAAGTGGGTAGTGTAATGGCAGGTGTGGGTTGTAGTGTTCCCAAGTTCTTTCAGGAACCAAAAGATGGGAGAGACCTCAAAAACGGGTATTTTTATTGTGGATCACAGAAATGTATACCGACGTGGGCTTCAGACGGGAGAGTCTGGAAAGACTGCAGGGCCTGCCTGCCTGCTGGAGACTTTAGTTTAGCTCGGCTCAGTCGCCAGTTGTCTTGTGTTACAATTTTGTGTTCGTTAAATGAGCACTTTCAAGATGCTTAGAAATTGTTTTAGTTGATCAGATTCGTATCCATCAGAAGTTATACATATACTCTATGAGAATTTGGAAGCTTTGTGTTTTTCAGTGTTTCAGTAAGGCTAGCTGATAATCACAAGTGACTCCTTCTAAAGTGCAGCCTTTACATTTCTTAAGCTAAATATACTGAATGCCCACTAAGGATGACACAGATTCCCTCTGCATAGAGGGTTTTCTACATTGGCATTGAGATTCCCTCTATGTGGAAGTTAGGTAGGTGTCAGGTAGCTTACAAGAATGTCATTCTGGGGAACCTTGTACATCCTTTTATGGTACGACACTTCTTTCTCCATGTTAGGTCTTGCAGGAAACAGGCTGTTGACTAGTGAGATGCCGTGAATGTAGATACAGTCTGTGCAATAAGTGGAAAGGAAATGCTCTTGAGAGAGTTCCTCAATTCTGAACAGGTCTCCTTAGCTTCTGTGTCCTGCCAGTTTAGCGACTAAGAAAAGGCTTGCTTTCAACATTGAGCAGCACTCAGATACATGTGCTCATTAGTGTGAGAAGTGGACAAATTATAGGTGAAGAGTTTGTTTCTGTCTGCCAGCGTGGAAAAGTTTGGTGGAACTAAAACTGAGACTGAGTAAAAACCTTGGCATAGACCTCAAAGCCAGAAGCGATTTGGTACTGCAGTTCCTGGTGAGCACCCGTGGACCTCTCTCTGGAACCACAGAGACCCTGGTGCTTCCATTAGGACAGAAACTGCTCCTAGAGGGTGGATAGGGGAGTCATTTAGGAACCTGTGGCGTAGCCCAAGAAGACCTCTGTGACTTCCTACTCCACAATGGCACGCTGGTCCCAGTGTGCATGACCAGACACTTCTCGGTACAGGCGAGAGAAGGTGCCTCATCTGAGCTGCTTTGTTTGCTCCACTACAGTAATTGCTGTGCTGCTTTAAAAAGACAGCTCAGGGGAGGAGCTCTGTCAGTACCTTAAGCTGAGAGGCTTTTCTTTTTCAATTCTGAAATCTTAGCCTTTTGGGAAAGATCTGTCACAAGAGAAGATGGCTAACAAGGCAGTCTTAAAGCCTGCCCACTGGCCCATCATGCAAGGCTAGAGGTATCCTCCTCATCTGCAGCTTAGAAATACTTTCCAGGGAGAACTCTCAGCCTGTGTGAAGGTGTGTCAAGTTTTCCTATGCTCTGTAAGCACTAGAAATGCCACTTAATTCAGAGTTGCCTGGAATCAGGCATGTGAGTTCCGCATGTTTTTCACGTGTGCTTGCAAATGAGGCTTGGGAAAGAGGAAAAACAAATCCATCCTTGCGGCTCTCTCTGTTCAGGCATAACAGCTAAGGGGTAGACATGGCACGGGGGATTGGTCTAAGATTCCACCGTTCTGCTAGTTAAATTGGGTCTGGAACCGCCACAGAAATTCCATCCACTGCTTGGAGAACAACAGTCCCCAGCCCAGGCTTTCTACCAGGCAGTGGCCTGCTGCCTTTCCTAGCTGAGCCAACTTCTAACTTGGCTGACTCCCCAGATGAGAAGCCGAGATTTCTGCTCGTGGTCTACAGCCAAGTTCACTACAGTCCTCCAACCAAAAGACTTGTTGTCCGTCTGAGTCCTTTCAGTGCTTGGCAGATGGGAGGGGTGGTGTATCTTGGGGGTGATGGTGAGTTAGGGTAAACTTAGCTGCTTGCTTACAGCACAGGTCCACAGGAAACCAAGTCCAACTTAGTTCTAACTGCTAGAGACTTTCAGGGTTCTTCCAGAAAGAAAACAGACAATTAGGATTTTATTTGTATCAACAAGAGGCATTGTGGGTAACTGGTGTCCCTGCTTCTGTGCACAGCTCTTAGGCTGGGAGGAGGGCCAGGAGTCAGAGTGATTTAGTAGACAGGAGTGTCTTGGGCTGCTGCTGCAGACCAAAGCTGAGCAATTGGTTTGCATGTAAATAGACCATCTTGGAAATTATAGAGCAAACACCAGGGGGCTAGTGTTTGCCAAATATCGGTCCTGGATCTCTTGCATCCTCAGCTGTTGTGGCAGGCCAGTTTACCTGGGCATTGGTGTGTAGTTCCTTCAAGCTAGCTTACACTGCTCTTCGAGGACAGCTCTGGGTGTCTGGTCCTTGTGTTGTGTGATATGGACATAGTGCCGCTACTCCCAAGTTACCTCGTTTTCCAAGCTTGATTGTCGTTCCAGAGCGCTCATTCAATTTTCTGTATAACTAGTGGAGAAAATACTCTGCTTCACAGTGAACTGAGGTGGAAGAAGGGATAAGTTTAGAAATCTTCCCAGCTTGTGCTCCATCTTCTGGACCGTGGCTGGGATGGAAACGTGTACCCATTTAATAGAACTGGAGGTGAGGCCTCTGAGAAATCAGGAGGAAAACAGTCCACAAAGGCTCCAGGCACTTCCCTTGGAGGGAGTCACAGACTTTTAGAATTTGATAGCAGAAGAATTTCAAGTCCTTTTCTTCTCATGGCTCTTGTCTGATTTCTGTCTCCCCATCTTTTCTAGTACAAGGATTCATTGGAAGTGACATTGTTAGACCAAGTTTATGTTGGTTGTTGCATTTTCAAAATTCCGGGCCCTCTGTCTGGGCTTACTAGCCAGGTCACTTTTTAATGTAGAGACAGACTCTTTAGGCTCGCTCAGCACAGCCTGCTCTAGTCAGGGTAAATGCTCAGGAGAGGACTTCTGGAATTCCTGATGTAGAGGTGGGGAAGTTCTTGCTCAAGTAGGCCCTTGTCTTCTGTGTAGAAGGAGATGGAGCTCTTTGGCAGGGCTCTCCAGCACTGTGCTACTGCCTTCCCCTTCCTGATTGGTTGGCAGTCCAGAGCCTCGCCAGCTGACTGTTTATAATTCCAAGCAGGAAAGGTTAAAGGCTGGTGAGGAGGGTATTTAGGAAAGTGCCAAATGGGCCTGCCCTGCTGCAGGTGCCTGAGGGCATTGACGAAGAAAGAGCATGCAGGTGTCAGAAGGTCTGCTGCCCAAGAAGTGCCTCTGGCCCCACCCCTGTGAGAGGAAGCCCAAATGCAGTTGGCACATCTGTCGGCTATGACATAATAACCTCAGGTGCATCTCAGTTTTCCAGAGGTTTGAAGCTTTCTTGTATGACTTGATGAGGAGGTGTGATAGTGACTTTTAGCAGGGAGGTGTCAGAGCAGAGCATGGTATGGTGGGTTTCATGTGGACAGAAGCATCCCCCAAGTCTCATGGTAGAGTAACTGTATCTTATGAAGGTGCCCACTGGAGCTTTCTTTAGTGACATGCAACCACAGACTGGCAGCTGCTCCATCACGTAGGTCGGGGACACTTGCAGGAGAGTCATACTTTGTCCCCTTGAATAACTTTGGTTTTACTTGTGCATGAGCTGGATCCACCGTGCTACTTTGGATGTTCCTGTTGCAAGCCTTGCTCACCCCTTTCTCCCTCCTTAACAGAGCCTAATTCTGGAGACTCCTAACTGTCCACCTCACGCTGCAAATTTTCCCAGTCCACTTGCCAGGGACAGCGCTGACTGCATACACTTCCAGGCTTCACCACATCCACCTGTAAAAGGAGTGGCATTCCTAACATGCTCTTTCTTCATTCTCCTAGGCTGACAAACGGGCTCATCATAATGCACTGGAACGAAAACGTAGGGACCACATCAAAGACAGCTTTCACAGTTTGCGGGACTCAGTCCCATCACTCCAAGGAGAGAAGGTGAGTCTGTTGACAAAGCCAGTTGGCTCTGGAACTTAACCAGGACACCCCCTCCCTTCTGTGAAGAAATAAGAATCAGGTGGCATGGGCTGTCTTATGTTTTGATTCTTTGGAAGAGTACCACACATCTCAGTTGTTATTATCTTTAGCAAAAACAACATCAGTTGTAATAGAGCTGTTTGTGAGACATCCCTAAAAGTGGTCTTTCAAAGTTGGAGGTACATGTAATTAATTACTTTTTTCTTTGGTGCTGGGGATTGAACCCAGGACCTTGTATATGCTAGGCAAATAAATTAGTCATTCATGACATTATAACTATATACTGTAGTATATGACTTGGTCCATAATTAGTTTGTGATCACTAAAGATTCCCCAGGCCAGTGATTCCCTAAACCTCCGTGGGAATTTCTCTTGTGCAGTTCAGCATTAGTACTTAGTGTAAATGAACACTTGCTGGCAGGGCTGTGAACCTGCCTGGGCACCAGTGATTTCCAGCCCTGGCAGCTACTCTCCCAAGATGTGTAAAGAGCTCTGTAAGCTATGGAACAAGAGTTAGGAGACATGTTCATATGAAAGAAGTAAAAATCATTCTCATCCTCCCTAAAGGCCTTTAGAAACTGCTCTTTTCCCTGGAGAGGCAGGAGCCAGCTGTTTCTATCTTCAAGAAACAAAAGCTTTGAGCAAAAGCCTATGGGTTAGGTCATTCCTTGGAATATGGAGAAAACATTTGTTTGCACAGTGAGTTCCACCCTTGACACTGTGTAGCAGGCTGCTTTCTGCAGCCCTTCCATGGAGTAGATGGTAAACTGGGGAGAATACTTGTATTGTGTGAGGGTTATTGATGTAATGTTAAGGGGGGCAGAGCTCCACAGTGGAATGCCTACTTACTGTGTGTAGGCCCTGTGGGTGATCCCCAACACTGAAAAAAAAAAGAAAAACAATTATTTATTTTTTTGAGACAAGGTCTCACATAGCCTAGGCTAGCCTAGAAGTGCCTTTATAGCTAAGGATGTCCTTGAACTTATGATGCTCCTGCATCATCTCCCAAGTAAGTGCTGGGAATGTAAGCGTCCACAAGCACACTTGGTTGGCTTGTTTGTTTGAAAGAGTCTCACTGTATAGCCATACTATCCTGAACTAAGGATTCAGCCTCTTGTGCCTGTTGGAATTATAGGCATGTGCTCCTATACCTGGCTGAAGAAACACTGTTTTAATAAAATCAGTCTTTACTCATAGGTGTACTTGAAGTGGTTTTACTGCTTTAGTTCTGTGGTGTGGGTCCTGAATTTGTTTGGTTATCTAAGATTAAAGTTTTCATGTTTAAAGAAGGTTGAAAAGCTCTGCTTTATATTTTGTCTATGATGTGGCCTTCTGTGTGGTTGAGATACGGAGTAAGTTGAAGCTTAAGTGAAGACAGGAATAGGCCATGTGAATACAGTGTTACAAAACCAGATCTGCTGTGGGTTAAGCCCACTTAGTGTGTACTTGATTTAATGGCCGAGGTACTTACCGGAATAGCAGCATTCCTGAGTATAACACTGAGCACCACAGGAAATCTTGATGACTGTAGAGACGCACCCTTTGTGCAAAAGATTATCTCTTTTCATGTCTGACCTGTTGGTGCTCATTCTGTATACCACTGACGGTGTCCACTAACAGCATTTCGGTGAGCTACATGGGCAAGAGCCGCCTTGATCTAAGCCTTGTGTGTAATGAGATACTGAGGATGTGTTTCTCAAGGGGTAGGCCACGAACCACCTACATCCAAACTAAATGAACTTCCTGGAGGGGAGCCTGGGAACACGCACTCGGAACAAGCCGTCCGACGATTCTGAGGCGTACTGAAAGCAGGTCACAAGCCACAAGTGTATCTCTTCCTTATACAGCCTGTCTTACCTTGCTAGTACATTCTTGCTTACGTCCTTACAGTTTATTATACTAATCCTATTGCTTCCTGTCCTTCCCGGAAGTTGGAGGTTTGGATTTGGTAGCTTACACATGGAGTAGTTTGCCATTTGTGGCCCTTTCGCTTCCTCCATTCAGCAAACATTTGTTGAGGGTCTGTCCATACCAGCCACTGTTCTTAGCAAGAAATAACAAGACCAGTCTTTTATTCTAGCAAGGAAATGATAGAAATTAAGAAGTCACTGAAATAAGAGTACTGGCTAGGCAAACTGGCAAACGCCTTTAATCACAGCGCTTGGAAGGTTGGAAGGTCACGGGCAGGTGGATCTTTTTGAGTCCTGCCTGGACTGCATAGCAAGTTCCTGGCTAGCTAGGGCTTCGTGTGTGTGTGTGTGTGTGTGTGTGTGTGTGTGTGTGTGTGTGTGTGTGTGTGTGTGTGTAGAGAGAGAAAGAGAGAGAGAGAGAGAGTCAGTCAGTCAGTCAGTCAGTCAGTGTGAGAATGTGTGCACCGTGCACTATGGAGGGAATTAAAGTGGAAGGGATGGTGGAACTTGAATCGGGACAGACAGATCTCACTGGCAAGATGGCTTTTGAGCAGATTTCATGGAAGTGAAGAGCTGTCCATCTGTCTGGTGCTAGGCATCGCAGGCAGGAGGAAGGTGAGTGTAACAGCAGCTCTGAGTCAGGGTCTAAGGATCATTCAGAGGCCAGTTGAGGAAACGCGAATGCTTGAGAGGGTGGCACCAGGTCCTGCATTGTAACTTACTTGTGTGTTTGCTTGTTTGTTGGGACTAGGTTTCTTGTATCTTCAGCTGGCCTGGCTGACCTAGAATTCCTCATCTCCTGCCTCTGCCTCTTGAGTGCCCCGGCTTAGTCTTTTTTATAAAGGGGGAAGAGAAGCAGATTGTCTGACAGTTTATTAGCTGCTGTTCTTATTTCAGAGTCCTTGTCCTGCTTGCTCTTAACTTTGGCTGAACCCAGCCTCTTCCCTTGTGAAGGGCGTGACTTTTCATTAGTCTTCTGTCTGCCAACAGTTTCACAGGTGCAGGGAGCCACAACTTCCTGAACCCCTTGGTCTTTCAGACTGACTTCTCATTACATATTGCAATTTTCTTCTTAAAATGTGGTATTGGAACCAAAGGAAATTGACTCATTCTTGATTTGAATTGCAATGGTTAAAGTTGTGACATTATGTAAGTAGTCGTGAAATGACTGTTCCATGTGAGTTTTAGAGAGCCTAGCTCAGATTGTTGAAGGGAAAGCTTTGATCCGAGTCTCCTTCGATGTCCGCATGGTTATGTTCCAGGTGACTCCATAGTTAACATCAGGATTGTGTGATATGTGTCCAGCCAAGCCTTTTTTAGAATTGTTGTTTGTTTGTTTGTTTGTTTTTGTGAAATAAAGTTTCATTCTGTGGCTCTCAAGCTGGTTTGAATTCATGGTAATATTCCTGCTTCAGGCTCCCAGATGCTGAGATTGATTGATTGAGTGAGTGAGTGATTTTGATCTTGTTTCACATGAATATGATTTTTTGGTTTTTTTGGTGGGGGTTTAGTTTTGTGAGACAGGGTCTCATTATGTAGTCCTAGCTGTTAAAGAACTCACTATATAAACCAGGCTGGCTTTGAACTTGAGAGAGATCTGCCTACCTCTGCCTCCCAAGTGCTGGGACTAAAGGCTTTCTCCACCAAGCCTGGCCTTGTGTGTGTCTTTAAATATACAAAGGAATGAGTTTGATCATAGGTGTGTTATGTACATATATAACATTTTTCTTTGTTCTTATTTTTGTTTGTTTATTTGTGAGGCAGGGACTCACCATGTAGCCCCGGCTGTCCTAGAACTCACTATATATACCAGGCTGGCCTTGAACTCACCAAGTCCTCCTGCCTCTGCTTGGTTTTTTATTGTTTTGTTTGTTTGTTTGTTTTTAATAAAGAAAAATTGACATTGATTAAATTGGATCTTAACCAAAAAACTAGGGAGTGGGGGAGAAAAAAATGGTCTTTTTCAAATCTGGTGTGGACTTCTGCTGTGTAGCTTGATCAGAACTCATAATTCTGCTTCCGCTTCTCGGTCACTAAGCCTACAAGTGTGTGCCACTCCGTCTAGCACATTATTTATTCCTCTGTTTGTTGTAACTGAGGCTTGTAAGCCCCTAGGTGGCCTTGGTTGACATGGAATTTATTTGTGACATTATTCCTGCCTCAGCGTCCTCGGTATTGGAATGACACAAATGTTTCATCATGTAAGACACAAACCCCATTTACTCCTTGTTTCTAGTGTCTGACAGAGAAAGAGAGCATCATAAAGAATACCCATCTTTCCTCATTTCTATAATCATAGCACTTGGGACTTTGAAGCAGGAGGATGACTATGAGTTCAGGGTTGGCCTAGGCTATAGCGTGAGACTTTGCTAGTTCCTCCTACCCTCTGTGAAAGAATATTCACTCTTTTGTTACGAAGCCGAGGGACTGGAGAGATGGCTCAGTAGTTAAGAGTACATGCTGCTCTTTCAGGGACCTAGGTTCAGTTCCCAACACCCACATAATGGCTCACAACCTCTTACAACTCTAGTTCTAGGGAATCTCTCTCTCATACATACACAAGAAAATAAAAAAGAAAGAAAAGGCCAGTAAGCTGGGGGTGGTGTTGAACACCCGTAACCCCAGTACTAAGGAGATAGAGGAGGAGCAGAGGTTTAGGGTCCTTGAGTATTGAGTTAAGCCAGCCTGGCTGTGTGAGACCCTGTCTGAAACACACATGTCATTGGGCACTCACTGTTGGTGCTCCTGCTGTTATCAGAGATGAGGAGGCTGCTAAGGTCATGACCCCAGTCTGTCCCAGAACAAGAAATAGAACAGGACTGCCGAGTTCCATCTTACCACAGTGCTGGAGGATAAGTATCTAAGGGTATTTTAAAGAAATCAAGCCAGGTAGAGTTGTACACACCTGTAATCCCATCACTAAAGCTGGGGCAGGAAGACTGCCACAGGTCTAAAGCCTGTTAGGCTAGCCGTGACCTATCTCAAGCAAACAAAATCTCCCCCTACTCGCGCTAGCAACCTTAGTTAAATGCAGTAGGACGGGCAGACGGA